GGGAGTGTTGCCACCGTAGTGAATGCATAATATTCGTGGGAACAAACGACTCCCGCCAGGATCAGCTGATTAATTTATTGATATGACCTTGTGACATCTTTTATGAATTTTAAGTAAAATACAAAATATTTTTGTGTTTATATCATCCCCTCCATTTATCTTGTGGCTATATTATACTGAAAGCAAAGAGTGATAAAAGTAAGTACCTGCCTGATTCCTGATCTATTGAGTGTGACCTTGCCAAGGCTACCACAAATTCAACCAGTCCACTGACGTGTTACTGGACACCGAAAACACCAGTTGGCGACCTTGTGGTTAATAGTAAAGCCCTATTATTGGGGCGGGCACATAACAGTTAAGTGAACGAGTTGTGTTCCCACTCCTTCTCAATCAGAGGCCGGTTGGGATTGACTGGGATACTCTCCTGGCGTACAGTGGCGCCGAGAGGATTGGAGTGAAGACCCGCAGGGCTATGGTGAGTGACCTTGAACATATCTGTTGCTCACCCAGAGTAAGAGTAAGATAAGTGTAAACCCCAACACAACTCACACACATTATACTAAATATATGATTTCCACTTCAATGTTTCTGATTGCATTAATAAATTGAATCTTCATAGATTTCGGTTTATTTTAATCTTGATTTAATTATTTTGTGTGACATTGTGTTGGAATTGAGCTGTGTTTTTACCACACCTTTCATTTCGTAAGTATAAGTATTGATGCAACATTTATAAAATGTAAAAACATTCTTCTATTTTTAAGAAACAGCGCCATCTGTTGCACGTAAGAGCCATACACACTATAATAAATATGTTTCGATTCCATTTCAATCTTTCCGATTGCATTGACAAATTAAATTTTCATATATTTCGGATTATTTTTATTTTGATTTAATTATTTTGTGTGATATTACGTTGGAGTTTAGCTGTGTTGTTTACCAAACCGTTCATTTCGTGAATATAAGTATAGATGCCACACACCTGTGACAGTAAAAACATGCATTATTGAAAAACAGTGCCATCTGTTGCACGTAAGAACAACTCATGCTATACTAAATATCTTACGATTAAATTTCAATGTTTCCAATTTCATTGATAAATTGAATTTTCACGGATTTCGAATTATTTTCATTTTGATTTAATGTTTTTGTGACACTGCTTTGGAATTGAGCTTTGTTGTTTACCATACCGTTCATTTTGTGAGTATAGTTTATTTTTTTATTTCTTCATTGTTTTTCATTTCGTTTTTTAATTGCTTTTCTTATATTTCAGTGATGGAACATCAAATGATGAACATCATTTGATGTTCCCTATTTTCTGATGGGAACATCAGATCATTTGGGAGTGCATCAGACGAAGGAGTGGAGAATGATGGGGAGGACGAGGGGACGGGAGTGGGGGATTGTACTGAGGACGACGGGACAAGGGAGGGGAGGACGAGGGAACGGGGGAGTTGGTGATGATGGGGATGAGGAGACAGGGGAATGGAGAATGATGGGAAGGACAAAGAGACAGGAGAGTTGGGGATGGTGCAGAGGACGAGGGAACAGGGGAGAGGAGAATGATAGGGAGGCCGGGGGGGAAAGGGGAGTGGGAGATGGAGGAGAGTACGAAGGGACGGTGGAGTGGGGATTGGTTAGAAGGATAAGGGAACGATGGAGTGGGGGATGGTGGGGGAGGACACAGGGATGGGGGAGGGAGGAAATTGTAGGGAGGACGAGGGGACGGGGGAATGGGGTATGATTGGGAAGACGAAGAGACAGGAGAGTGAGGAATGGTTGGGAGGACGAGGGGACGGGGGAGGGGGAACGGTGGGGAGGACTGGAAGACCAGGGGAAGGTTGCTGTGGCCGGGTACAGATAGTACAAAATTCAAATACAAATATCTGCCTTATTCGGTTGATGAAGTGAAGAAGATGACTAACTCTTGCTCTACATGCTTTGAACTTATATCTCAGTTTTTCAAATTTGACTCCGGGCATTTGATTAAAACTACTCAACCATATGAACGACTCAACGTAGATTTCAAATGACCGCTTCCATCACAATCAAGAAATAAACATATACTTACTGTCACAGATGAATTTTCTCAATTCCCTTTTGCATTTCCTTGCTCGGATATGACTACTCGTACAGTATTCAGTGCTTGGTGTAGTTGTTCGCAATCTTTGGTTTGCTTGCGTCTATACACTCTGCTTGGGGAACAACTTTTTATGTATGAGGAGATGAAGGATTTTCTACTGAAAAAGGATTAGCAACTAGTGGTACGACTCCATACAACCCAAGAGGAAATGACCAGGCTGAGAAGTACAATGGGATTATTTGGAAGATAGTGTTTCTCTTAGGACGAGAAAATCTTATGTATCCCAGTGAGAAATAGTTCTTCCTGATGCACTCCATTATATTCGATCATTGTTGTTCACCTCTACAAATTGTACACCACATGAATGATTCTTCCAGCATTCTAGGAGTTCTATTCCGGGGCTAACACTACCACCGTGGCTTGCTTGCACAGGCCCTGTCCTCTTAAAACGTCAGGTTCGGCAAAGCAAAAATGATCCTCTAATGGAAGAGGTTGAGGTCATAGACGTTAATCCAGAATACTCCCTTATCAAATTCCCAGATGGTAGAATTACTATTATATCCTTAAGACTCCTCACGTCCATGACCCACAGAGCTGCAGGAGTTTAGACCCCTTTCTTATGGAACCAGAATTAAGGAGAGCACTCGTGTTACCAAAATTCATAGTAATGAAACTCTTTTGCGTTAAATACACACACATGTGAGGAGTAAAGTTGTGTAGGGGGGCCTGACAGCTGAGTTGAAAGTGCTCGTGATTCGTAGTCCTAAGTTTCCGGGTTCGACCCCCGGCGGAGGCGGAAACAAATGGCAGAGTTTCTTTCACCCTGAGGCCCTGTTCACCTGGCAGTAAAAAGGTACCTGGGAGTTAGACAGCTGGTACGGGCTGCTTTCTGGGGATGTGTAACAAAAAAAAAAAAGACCTGGTCGAGGACCGGGCCGCGGGACGCGGGACGCTAAGCCTCAATTTTTTAGTATATTTACTGCAGAAGCAAGTATCGCTAAGCCCCGAAATCATCTCAAGATAACCTCAAAAAGGGTGAGGTGAAGGGTCGAAGGTACATAAGGGCAATAAAAGCTGATGTAATGAATAAGGGATTAAAGTAAAAATAAGTAGAATGGTCCAGTCAAACATTGGGTAAGGCTATGTGTAAAACTCTGGTACTCTCGAAGGTTAAGGAGAACTCTGTAGAGATGTCGTCGTTATCCTGTGATGTTTGGTGAGATCTGGATCTGAGTGTCGGCAAGGTAGCCAAGCTGTTATTCTGCATATTTAGAGTAGGTCTTTTTTCTCTTATGAGTATACTTTCCAGAATTTGCGATCCGCTTTGGTCAATGGTGGATGCCAGGATTGTTGTATTATCTACTAGTATGTTCCTAGTGAGTGTTGTGTTATATACACTTAGCATATGGCTTCTGGGAGCACCAGTATGTTGATGGCTGGTCAGTCCTCTTCATTGGGGCATGAAAATTGGTATACCACGTTTGCTTTTTAGAGAGGGTTGTGTTGTTTATTGTGGCTGCTCTTAGGTATTAAATCAATTGTCTTTTGCGTTTTGTAGTAAATAATGAATTCATTATTTACTAGCATAGGCAAGGTAAAGTTAGAGTATTATACTATAGCTTTATGTATCGAATTTGCTTTATTTCATACAAGTAAGCATTGAATTTTGGGGTTTGCGATCTGAACTAATCGTTACTCCTTGATGTTTCTCGCATTCAGACTTCGCAGTTTCAATATTGTGCATCTGTTATCTAGAAATGTTCCTGAGTTAATTGATTATTTGAATATTCTTATTAGTAGGTCACAGAGTTTCTCTCTCACTTCTTTAAGACTCTTCTGGACTGGGTCTGGCGATTTATTTGTATTTAACTTATTAATTGTTTAATTATATTAGCTTTAGTTCTAATATAATTGTCATGCACACTTCCGTGGAAATAAACATTTCATTCACATGGGCTCTAAGGAATCTTTCCTTAGACTACTCTTAGCTGAGTGGATAGAGTTTCTGCCTCACATACATGGGGTCTGTGGTTCGAGTCTCCTAGAGCCCAGGTGACTGAAATGTTAATTGCCACGGAAGTGTGCATGCCAGTTTATATGATGTGGGCGTGGCTCACTAATTCCTTTGAGCTTCAGTAGTAGTCAGAGAAAGTGTAAAATTACAGCACAGCAGCAGTAGTTGCTATTGGAATCTTTCCTTATTAAGACCACTCATAGCTAAGTTGATAGAGCTTCTGCCTCACACGTGTGGGGGTCAGTGGTTCGAGTCTCCTGGAGCCCAGGTGAATGAAATGTCAGCTATGTTAAACTAATTGTTGCATATTTAATGGTTGTCACATCCATATATATTGCTTCAACGTAGGAATTTTTTAATGTATTTTTACTGAAGTGTGTAATTAAAACTTTTATTATATTTGTATTTACATATCTTTAAATTATATTGTAAATTATACTGTAAACGTCGAGGCATGGTGAACGACACCTGCTCACAATATATACAATGACCATTAAACTGCTATTGAACGTGGTAATCTCGTATATGTAAGGCACATACTATTAATAATGTTGAAAAAAGAACTAAAACACGTTGTTGATCTCAAACTTGTGCACTCATCAACACAGGTTCATTACCTCCAACGTGGCAGAATGTGGATGGTGGTCGCGCCCGAGTACAGTGCTGGCCTCTCGTCATTACCATCCCCGGCACTATGCGAGAGGATATAGTACATGATAACTGCTTCTTACCTTCAAAACTATAATATCAATGCAATGATGCAATGAAGAGTCATGTTTTGGTGGCACATGTAAACAATAGTTATTTAACTGAGCGCCATCAGCGGAGAGTGTTTGGCATCCCTGTCTCTGGCCCTCGGCACCCTTATATAAGCCGTGAATATGGTGTTGGTGGTAGCAGGCAGACACTGGCACCTGGAGGCTGCACACTCCCGCCGGTCTCACTCATCCTGCGAGCCTCTAACATCGAAATCAAGATGAACCCGTCTGTGTTGCTTTCTTTGCTGGTGGTGTCGGCGACGGGGACTCCTGTAGCTCCACAGTCCAGTGTCCAGGACCTCCAGTCCAATGGCCAGAACCTCCTGTCCAATAACCAGGACCTCCAGGACCTTCAGTCCTTGCCGTTGAACCAGGACCTCCAGGACCTTCAGTCCTGGCCATTGAACCACGACCTCCAGTCCAATGACCACGTCGTCAAGTCCAATGACCACGTAGTCAAGTCCAATGACCAGGAAGTCCAGTCCAATGACCAGGATGTCCAGTCCAATGAACAGGACGTCCAGCCCAATGACCAGGACGTCGAGTCCAATGAACAGGACGTCCAGTTCAATGAACAGGACGTCCAGTCCAATGAACAGAACTTACCCACCAGTACCCAAAACGCTAAACTCGGAATTCCGAACTTGTCAGCAATAATCGCTGCACTTCCTAAGTGAGCAATGAATATGTATTATAAATAATATATATATGTGTATATATATATATATATATATATATATATATATATATATATATATATATATATATATATATATATATATATATATATATATATATATATATATATATATATATATATATATATTTCGTTGTTTTAAAATAAGGAGGTCGTAGTTTTCTCTAAGCCTTTATGTTAAAAATTGCCAAAATATGTGGACATCAATATTATCATTGACAGATTGACGAAGAGCGGCAAGTTCAGTATTCTGGGCCGGCAGTGCACCTACAGTTTGACTTCCAAGGCAGGTCGTCCAAGAGTATACACAGGCACGGTACAGTGCACAGGCTGGTTCATCAAAGGGCAAGGTACACACCTGTTATTTCTTCACTGTGAATGTTTGTATTGTTCACTGTGACATTCTTGCTATAAGCAACCAAAATATTGGACACACTGCCCACAAATCATAAAATTAAAGATTTGACGACGTTTTGGTGCTTCCTGGACCATTATCAAGTCGTATTTTCAATTTAGTTGGTGTGTGGCTAATTTTAAGGCGAGTTATTGTGCCTTTTTTTTTGTCTGCAAACAATTTGTTTAATATTTTGTATTTGTACTTTGTGTTTTTGTTCCTTGTTACATGCAAGGTAACATTAATTATATATCTTGAAGATAAAAATCTCACAAAAGCTTATAAATTTGAGATAAGAACTTTTACGTTGTTATATTGAGCACGTGAGATATATTTAATGCCAAGAATACAAATTCCCATTATTCCAACTATAATATTCTTTTGTTATTGGTTACTTGTGTCAATGGAATAATTGTGCTACTAATATTATTATCTTTGAAGAATATTAGTTTATTTAAAATTAATTACGTTTTTTAATATAACAAATGTAATTTTTACGCTTTTACCTTAAAATATGTATACAATTAATTTACCAAACAAACTTTAAACAACATATAATTTCATAGCAAAAATCATCCTGAAGTTCTGTCTTACGTTCTAAAGTTTTACATTCATTATTAAATTACATGTTTATATTCATAATTAAATTAATTTTGTATACATTACAGCCTCCATCCAGATCAATTTAGCTACCGCTACGGACCTGGGGAAGTTGTTCTTGAACACTGCGCGGGACGCACTCCAGAAGGCACTGAAGGCTGGCCTACTCAGTGGGTAGATCTCCACTGCGCCGTGACACTCCTTAAGGCAGTGAAGTAACTCTTCAAAGGGTAGATGTCAAAATAGCTCTCTGGCTATGTTTAAATATTTTTTTCTAGAAAAATACATTAAAACTATAAGAATTCTGCACTTATATCCAATACTAACAACCACTGAATTCTTCTTCTTCGCACAAATTGTAATTGCAAAAAAATAAACGCAAAAGTTCTAAAATATTTTATTCCCATCATTATTATATGCAGTCATGATTATTTTTATTTAAACTTGCAGTGAAACACCAAACTGAAAATAAGATTTATACGCAGATAAATTTGCTAAGAAACAGACACATGCAACAGTACATAAAAAACACAAACACCCTCGCACCATACTAGACACGTCAGGCCCAAAATGACAACACACCCACCTAACAAAACACTAAACAATTAAAACACAAGGCAACGAACAGCAGTACGAAGCAACAATATGCAAACTGAAATTAAATGGTCCAGAAAAATATTCTTTATCATGAGATAAATCTAAATTAAATACCAGGTTACATTTTACTTTCAGCATTTAGTTGTTCAGTGGTTAAAGGAGTGTGATTAGACTGGACGGTAGAGCGACGGTCTCGTTTCTTGCACGTTGGCGTTCAATCCCTGACCGTCCAATTGGTAGGGCCCCATCTCCTTCCAACTCCTTATCCTCATCCCTTCTAAGTGCTATTTAGTCGTACTGGCTTAGCGCGTTCTCCTGATAAATACTTTATCTTACTTTGGGAGTACCCAATACATAGCCTCCACGATTTGGTGCCTTCTTCGATAATTACTTACTTACCAACTGTATATATATATATATATATATATATATATGACAATGTCAGACCACGGAGGAAAAATGAAACAGGAATTTCCTTAAATTCCTTCCTTCTGAAGATGTATTTAATATACGAAAGTACTTAAGGAAATTCCTGTTTCATTTTTCCTCCGTGGTCTGACATTGTCACATTCTTAATCACGTGTTTATTTTCGTGATATACACACACATATATATATATATATATATATATATATATATATATATATATATATATATATATATATATATATATATATATATATATATATATATATATATATATATATATATATATATATATATATATATATATATATATATATATATATATATATATATGTATATATATATATATGTATATATATATATATATATATATATATATATATATATATAACAACTGCCTTGTTTTCATTGTATATATTAAAAATTTTCTAAAATAATTATTGAATTGGTTCCGTTAAGCACGAACTCTTCCTTCAAAAACTGTGCTGGGAATAGTTAATCAGTACGTGTTTCTCCGCTGGTTCAATTTGTTTCTTGTTTTGTATATCGTAGTTGACTATGCATGTTTCATCCTGTGTAGAATTGTTCTTGTTGAGCCACTTGTCCAAACTTATTGTCAAGGGTTTTATTATTTCAGTTTTTGCTTCCTGTAATATTGATGGGTAAAGTTCATTAGCTCAGATGTTTTATTTGCCTGCGATTTACTTAGTAATGTGAGCATATCACCATATTCACGGCTTATATAAGGGTGCCGAGGGCCAGAGACAGGGATGCCAAACACTCTCCGCTGATGGCGCTCAGTTAAATAACTATTGTTTACATGTGCCACCAAAACATGACTCTTCATTGCATCATTGCATTGATATTGTAGTTTTGAAGGTAAGAAGCAGTTATCATGTACTATATCCTCTCGCATAGTGCCGGGGATGGTAATGACGAGAGGCCAGCACTGTACTCGGGCGCGACCACCATCCACATTCTGCCACGTTGGAGGTAATGAACCTGTGTTGATGAGTGCACAAGTTTGAGATCAACAACGTGTTTTAGTTCTTTTTTCAACATTATTAATAGTATGTGCCTTATATATGCGAGATTACCACGTTCAATAGCAGTTTAATGGTCATTGTATATATTGTGAGCAGGTGTCGTTCACCATGCCTCGACGTTTACAGTATAATTTACAATATAATTTAAAGATATGTAAATACAAATATAATAAAAGTTTTAATTACACACTTCAGTAAAAATACATTAAAAAATTCCTACGTTGAAGCAATATATATGGATGTGACAACCATTAAATATGCAACAATTAGTTTAACATAGCTGACATTTCATTCACCTGGGCTCTAGAAGACTCGAACCACTGACCCCCACACGTGTGAGGCAGAAGCTCTATCAACTCAGCTATGAGTGGTCTTAATAAGGAAAGATTCCAATAGCAACTACTGCTGCTGTGCTGTAATTTTACACTTTCTCTGACTACTACTGAAGCTCAGAGGAATTAGTGAGCCACGTCCACATCATATAAACTGGCATGCACACTTCCGTGGCAATTAACATTACAGTCACCTGGGCTCTAGGAGACTCGAACCACAGACCCCATGTATGTGGAGGGGTTTGACCCCACTTGAGCACCAGACATCGTGAGGGGAAGCCGTGCTCTGTGTGAGCTCCTGTTAGAGAAGATCCCCTAGTTGACATACCTTCAAGAGGAAGGAAGTGTGCAGACGTTTCAGCTGTGGAATCAAGTTGGGAACGTTGTGGTCTCAAGTCCTGATAGGCCTTCCTTCCTTCATTACACACAGAAATCACAATTTCTGTTCATTGTTCAATGATTTGTTCATTGATGAATGATCAATGATTTGTTCATTGAAGCATCACGTTATTGTGATTTCTGTGTGTAATGAAGGAAGGGCGAAGACGTATAACGGCCTATTGACACAGCTCGAGTGCATGGGGGAGTTGTGAAAACCCTGGTTTGTGTCTCGGAGAAGCTGCAGGATCCAGTAAGTTCAGTAGAATTTCGGTTTCAACTCTTTTCCATGTCATAGCTCAGTCGATTAGGGCAGCGTCTGGGATGCTCACAGACGTAGGTTCAAATCCTCGTCACGGTCCTTGTGGATTTGTTCGTCCTGAAATATTTTCGTTTGGCAACTTGTGAGCGCTCTGTCAAGCATCGGCCAGGAAGCGCCCTGGACTAGACAATTTTGTGGTTTGTCCTGAGGAAGAAGTTGATGGGAGTACTCTGAGGCTAGAGAAGAAGTTGATGAATGGAACTTCAAGCCTGTTAGTGTAGATGTTGTACTCTGTGGAAGAGCAAGGCCCATAGTGAGGAATTGGACCTCATACTGTGAGAAGAGAAGCAGTGAAGTCTCACATGTTTCTGTGGAAACGGTAGTGGAGTACCACTGGAGTCCAAGGAGAACTTCATGGTGCAACAGCCTGGAAGAGCTGCAGAGGATCCTTGTAGATGAACCTTAAAGAACCTGATGATGTCAGGGTAGTGAACTCCCAGATGTGGGAAGGAAGTTCTAGTTGACTACTTGTAGGAAGTTGGTAGAGTGCTTGATTGTCACTAGTGTGCAAGACGCAGTGAAAGGTGGTGATTGATTATCATTTCTATGCCAAGGAATACCTGTACTGAAGTTTACAGAGAGTTACAGCTATAGGCTGGATTACCTACAGATATATATATTACCTATATATATATATATATATATATATATATATATATATATTCTTTGGGGCATATATATATATATATATATATATATATATATATATATATATATATATATATATATATATATATATATATATATATATATATATATATATATATATGTTCTAGGACTGATAGGGTAATTGGTTATTATTTACTTATGATGAAGTTTATAGAGTTACAACTGTGGGCTGAATTACCTGCAGAGATATTTATATGTTCTAGGGCTAATAGTGCCGTATTTATCTTGTAAGATTTATCTACTTGGTGAGGTGGATAGTGTAAGTGGCGAGCCAGAAGTTGGGCGACCACGTGGTATAAGTGACTGATAGAGTCCTGATGGATTTGATCTGCAACCAGGTTATAATATCATAAAGTGTAGAGGTTTAGAGTCCCTTGTATTATATGTGAATGCTTTGTATATGTTCTGTTTTGTTATTAAATCTGTGTAGTTAACAGCTGTTTGCCCTTGTCCTAGTGAGGCTTCCCAGAAAGTCGAAAAGAGAGAGAGAGAGAGAGAGAGAGAGAGAGAGAGAGAGAGAGAGAGAGAGAGAGAGAGAGAGAGAGAGAGAGAGAGAGAGAGAGAGAGAGAGAGAGAGAGAGAGAGAGAGAGAGAGAGAGAGAGAGAGAGAGAGAGAGAGAGAGAGAGAGAGTGAAAGAACCAAGAACCATAGCTGTCGACAGGGGAGTACAGAGTAATATTTCAGAATAGGGGATTGAGGAGATCATAGCAAATAAGGAGAGAGTGGGGAGTCACAGCAGCTTGAGTGGGTGTGTGCATATGACAACGAGGTCAGTATTGGAGCCGCAACCCTTTAAACGTGTGACATTGAACCCCTCTCCAAGTGCCCAGGGTGATCTCCTTGTCAAAATAAGCACTCTCCGAGTTTTGGGTTGGGTTGTCCATAAGGAAGGACGACCAACAACAACATCCTAATAGAATACACCCCACCTTCACTCTCCAGGTACTCACTCACAGAGGGCTTCAGCAACACGCTGACAGGGGTCCCAAACTAATGCAAACAGGGGTAGTTATTACCCTGACTGAAGCCTCTAGCAGCTTGCTAGCAGCACTTCACAATAGATACATCACTGTTTTCATTAACTCTTACAAGACAATCCCGGGTACGTCGAGCTTCAGAAACACTGTATATATCAGCAGCTATCACCAAGCTAAGAGTTCGTTGACTGCCCAAGGTGAACTGCCTACTCAGCTCAATTGCCTCCATATGTCACTTCTCTGGACATAAACACGCCATTAGCCAGATGGACAGTACACTGGATAACCATAAGATAACACTCATTCACCGGGGAATTGATATTATGCCTTGTAGCCACAACCTAGATGGTGCTGATCTTGATACTCCACCCACCAGAGATCATCAACCTCTCCTTCTGATTGAGGCAGGAAACCCGAGCCATTCGCTGATACCAGGTCACCACCAACAGTTGGCATTGTCTACATAGCGCCCAATACTAGGGGAGTTGGAGTGCAGACTCATAGATGTCGCTTAAATTGCCACTCCACACTCCGACGATGTTGTCAAAACCGTAACACACCACAACAACGTCACTACACTTTTCATGACTTTCGACTTTCAACACAAGAACATCGCTACACTATACAAGAC